CCTCCGCGTGCACCAAGTCGATCGATTGACGCACACTATGTGGACAGCATGGGGTGGATGGGATACGGAATGCAGTCAAGCGGTGTCATGCGACGCGATCAAGTGAAAGTGCTGGAACATCAACTTGGTGGACAGAATGGGGACATGCTGCGCACGGTACAGCTACCTCGACCGTCAACCGTGCCTACTCTCTTCGACCCCGCTCCACGTGAATACACGGAAGAAGACAAGGAACGCCTGTCACGCAAAATGGTGGGAGCAACAGTGGACAAGGCGTTCACCACTACTCCGTTTGATGGCTCGAACTTCCGGAGTGGGCACTACGGTTTCGTATGAATGCTCGCGTCACGAATCTGTGGGAGTTCTTTGTGACCCCGCAGTATCCAGTTACCATGGGAGATAGTGACATTAACGACGCTATGGAGCGGCTGGAAATGCTACAGGCGGATTACTCACAACGTGCGGCGCTCGCTTTTTGGGTCCTACTGCACAACGTGAGCGCCACGATTCAGCTACAGCTGGACATGTTCTGGGAATCCTACAGTCCGGCTTATGAAGCATAGGAGTACTTAATGGATACTTACCAGGCCAAAGATTCGGTGGCGAAGGTCTCTCTCATGAAGGAGCTGGACAACCTGAAAATGGGGAGTCAAGAGAGGGTGGAAGAGTATGTCAACCGCGCAACGGCAATCCGGGACAAGTTAGCACTTGCGGGGAAGATGGTGGATGAGGACACATTCACCTTAAATATGCTCACCGGACTATCGGCACATTGGGAGGAGATGAGGCACTCGGCAATGCTACACAACATGACGGACAGCTTCACCTTGCAGCGGATGATGATTCAAGAGCAGAGGTATCACGACCTCATTACGAAGGATAACCGTGATCGGCGTCCACCTCGCATGGTTGGACAAGCACGTGGAGACCACTCACCTTCTCCAACAACTAAGAGCAAAACCGGGAAGAAGGAGTCCGTTGGAGAGGAAACGCATGGCAAGGATGGAGATGCAAGTCGCTCATCTCTTGTGTGTTGGTACTGCAAGGAGGTCGGCCACCCCTTCTTCAAGTGTACCAAGGCACCCCCTGGCTGGTCACCACCAGGGTGGGAACCGCATACCATAAGGTCAAAACTGCACACCGGCGACAGTCACTCGTTCTCCCCACGAATGAGTCGCAGCCCCAAGCGTGACAACAATGCATCAAAACAGCAAGAGGCAGCCGGGGAAGACAAGCAACGTACTGTTACGTGCATTGCAACGGTGGGATCGTCACAAGCTACCTTACCACCAGCTAAAGCATCATCTTGGATGCTGGATAGTGGATGCAGCTAGCACATGACCTCGGATAAGCGCTGGTTTGAAGAGTTAAGAGAGCTGGACGAACTTGTTTAAGAGGAGCTCGCGAATGGGAGCGAGCTGAGCAGCACGATGACAGGAACGATCAGAGCGATGGCACCTGATGGGACAACGGTTCGCTACACTGAAGTCCTTTACGTACCTGGTCTGAAGAGCAACCTGCTCTCCTATTGTCAGCTGCTGAAAAAGGGAGCGCGCATCAATACCATTACTAATGGAGACACCGAGATCACCATGACTGATGGAGAGGAGTACGTGCGGATTGGACTTGCCAAGAACGTGGATGGAGTGCTCGTGGTGCAATATGCGCATGCACTTACATCCGCCCATGATCCTGGACATTCCCGTTATGACGCGTCATCGCATCAGGTTGATCGTGAGGGGGTTACCCTTTTCCGCACACCTGGTGTGCACATTGACGCACATGGGAGCACGGATTTCCGCACACCTGGGATGCACTCGAGTGGCAAGTCTGCACATGCATCTGTCACATATCGCCTGGCGCACAAAGCCTGCATCGTGCGGAATCCGGCACATGATGTTGATACGGATGAAGTCTCACCCCACTGTGTGGTGTGGACTTCAGGGAGAGGAGGACACAGGTCCATAGCGGATTCGGTTCCTGCATTCTCGACCATTGAAGGATATGAAGGCGAAGGAGCAGAATATGCAAAAGAAGACTTACCTGGAGCTGATGCAGCTGATGAAGTCAGTGCAGTTGATGGAAGCGGAGGTACAGCTGATGGCGTACCTGTGACTGGTGTTTCCATTTCGGAAGGCGTGGAAAATGATGATGTGGGAAATGAGGTGGACAAGCCAAGCAAGCAGCATCTTACCTGCAATTTGCTGGTTGGTCAAGGCAATCATCAAGTCAAAGATTCTGGTGTTGTACTCACTTGTGCGGCCACCTCTAACGGTGCGGCACAACATGGCATCACTTAACTCCACACTCACTCATGTGCTTGTAGCTGTGTACGCGGATCACTACAAGCACATGGGTGGCGGGAGGTGAGGAGTGGAGTATGTCTGGTGGCATAGGAGTGGGACATGGAGTCAAGAAGCATAAGGGGAAGACCTACTCACCAAGGGTTGCCAAAAGGCAGGGGGAGCAGGCAGAATGGATGCAGCCGGTCGTCATCCGTCGTGCTGGAGCGGTATCGTACGACTGGTTACTGCTGATGAACGGCACTACCGCGAGGGAAGAACGGAGAATATACATGGGAGAAGGTATTTCTGCATACCTGGTGTGGACACTTCTGCATACCTGGAGTGCACAACACTGCATACTTGGAGTGGACATTTCTGCATACATGGAGTGCAGAGTTCGGGATACTTGGAGTGCGTCGGCATGCGCAACTCTTTAGCTGATGGAGTTCGGCAACTCCAACTGCTACCGTATGTCGGTTGGAGCGTAAGGGGAGCATCATAAGGAAACATGGGTGAAGTCAGAGCGAACTTGGGGTCACCCTTTGGTGTGGATTTAAGACATGGACAACCTTGTGCCAATCCCAGCATGAGGCAGGGGGAGAAAGACAAGGTTTACAGAGAAATGCGGAGGAAGAAAAGCAGGGGAGGAGAGAATCACGCGAAGATGCAGAAGGCGCGGACAGGAAAATGATGCAGTAGGCGCGCGGCAAATCGTCAACCGCTAACGAACGTCAAATCGTCGCTTCTATCGCGCGCAGTGTGCGCCCGCCAATGCAGTTCCGCGCCAACCGTACGCCATGCGTTATCCGCTAACGCTTCGCGTCATACGCAACTTCAGTCGTCGCAGACGCGCATCCACTGCGGTTTCGCGTCGTCGCACAGGAGGCGTGCGAAAAAGACAGCTGCACTGACAATCGCATGTCGTAAAGACTACGGTTTCGGAAATTCGGCATGCGCTAAGGGCATTCCGCCATGACGATACGCGCATTCCGCCATGGTCTTGAGGAGATTTCGCCATGGAGCTGCTACGATTTCCCCAGCAGCAGCCACTAGTCTCTAGATCTCGATCTAGAATGTCGAGATTGGAAGGAGGGAATGAAAAACGTGAAGGAATGTGGTTTGGTTGGAGTTTGGAAGGCCCGAAGGTTGGGAAGGGAAAGGTGCTACAGTGAGAAGCAGCTTGGCCAACACCAAACCCTAGCTTGGTTTGGACGCACCCCTACCTTGTGGTGGTACACCTTCTCGACCACCCTACCCTCCAAGGAAAACGAATTCACTAAAACCTACAGCAAGGGGGAGTGTTGGAAATCCGAATACAGTATAACGAATACTGTATACCAGTGTGCTGTTTGGTTTTAGTGTAGTCCTCTTTACAAGCTTCCAGGTCCTACAATAATTGTGACAATTATTGTAGGGGCCACAATTATTGGAGCCTAGCATTATTGGAGAGTAGAGGGTACAATTATTGGTACACCATTATTGGTGTGAATGGGCCATTCTGGGAGGGGTAGCTGGATGCATATATACCCTGTTGTGTCACTTCTTCAACATCATTGAGTTATCATTGTGTCATCTTTCTACTTTTCAATGATCAATGCAAGATTTCTATCTTGTTCGTTTTTACCAACACATTTCCGCTACGCTGGCTTTCTAGCAGGCACTATGCCTTTCTAGTACGGTAAGGATTTCTCAAGGTGAAATGTTAATTGACACATTCACTTGAACTGATGCAAGACAGACCACCCACCCACCCACCACCATGGTCCGTGAGCTAGATGTCTCGTAGCCAGGCCTCTCGTTATCAGGGTAAAATACCCTTTTTGCACTGACTGGCGGCCGCTTTTTTTCAGTTACCCTTTCACAGGCATGGTACTGGATTTTTTACCCTAGGCCAGAAAGTGCAAGTTTTTTTGTACCCTTTGAAAAACAGCGTAAGGAACATATTTCCCTGATTGTAACACTGTACGATCCCAGATAGAATGATATCGAAAGCTCCATAGCGAGACGAACGACCATTCGGGCCCCTGCAAAATACTCTACCCATCAACGAGACTCGGACATACGAACTTCGGATAATCTTTGCAATCGAATCAACTGAGCTACTAACTACTAATCTGTACTACTTTGGCATTTTATATAACTTGTTTTCAAAAACACCCTGGCCAAACAGACTAACATTTTTTTAACCCTGCATTTTTCAGGCAAACAGAAAAGTTACCCTACACATCAGGGTTGACTATACATAGAACCCTGATTACTAAGGGTGACTCAAAACCAATCTGGAGCCCTGCTCGTAGCTATATGTCACACAATCAGAGCTATTCAATTGCCAAATCTTGATGCACCTCGAAGTGTTCTTTGACCAAATGACAGAAAAGAGGAAGAAGAAACCACAAACCAGCAAAGAAAAGGGGAAGCGGAAGAAGGAGCAGGAGCGAGAGAGTAAAAACAAGCACAATATGTGCCGGCAGCTGCTGTCAAAAAACGAGGCACATAAAAGAACAGTGACTGATGATGTTGTCACTTGCTACTGGAGAGGCACAATATGAGGCACCCCCCGAGAGGCCCTCGTTGCAGTCAGCTCTTGAGTCGGCTCAAAAAGTGTCTTGTAACGAAGTGACTTTTGAGTCGACTCGAAGTCATCCCCCGAGAGGCCCTCATTACAGTCAGCTCCCGACTAACAAGTCATCTTGTGGTCCCTTCATTACTATCACATCACACAGAGCAGCTTACTCTTCCCTTGGACTTAACCCCAGCCCTCTGACTAAGAGCATGTGCCCATCCCCCGTCATCCTCCTCCTCACCACCCCCACCAGCCTGAGCAGTAGCAGCAGCTGTAGCAGCAACTTGAAAAGCACCTGTAGCAACAACTGCTGCTTGTGCACCTACACCCCCCCCCGCACCCTCACCATCCTTCCCAACCCCCAACTCACCGTGCTTCTGCCCCCTGTTCCCCTCTCCCTTGCCCTGCCCCTCCTCTCCTCCCGTCCCACGCACCACCCCACTAATGCTCGTCCTGCGTCTGTCCCGGCTCCCACCGCTGTTCCCCACACTCTTGCTCTTCGCACCAAACGCACCCGCGCCTGGCCACCCGGATAGCGACACCCGGCGGTTGCTCCTCCCTCCTCCCTCTCCTCCCTTCCCCTCTTCCAGAAGCTTCCAGGCATCGATCCCCGCTCCCTCCTCTTCCTCATCCTCCTCATCCTCCTCCTCATCCTCATCCCACTCCTCCTCCTCCTCAGTCAAATCCCCCTGCGCACCCTTTCCCGTTCCGACCGCCGGCCCCTCCCCACCCGTCGCCTTCTCCTGCTTCCCCGTCGGCCCCTTCCCCTCCCCCTTCTTCCTTCTAGCTGCCTTCCAAAGCTTCCTCACAGCCTTGCTCCATGGATCCTTGCCGGCGCTTCTGCCACTCGTGCTGCCGCTGGTGGTGGGAGTGGTGCTCCTCGTGTTACCGGAGGTGCTACTGAGTGCCGTCTTGGAGTGATGCTTGCTTGTAACGAAAGGAAGGTCAGCTGCGGCAGCGGCAGGGGGAGCAGCAGAGGTAATAGCAGCAGCAGCAGCGGCGGCAGCTGCGGCGGCGGCGGCGGTGGCGGCGGCGGCGGCGGCGGTGGCGGCGGCGGCGGCGGCAGCAGCAGGATTGGGATCATTCAAACCATCACACACACCTGCGGCACCACCACCAGCACCACCACCAGCACCACCAGCAGCACCAGCAGCACCAGCACCAGCAGCACCAGCACCAGCACCACCACCAGCAGCAGCAGCACCAGCAGCAGCAGCAGCAGCAGTTCCAGCCAGGTTGCTGGTGCTGCTGCTCTTGCCCATACCTCCCAGCCTTGCCCAGCCTGAGAGCGAGGCTCGGCGCTGCAGCTTACCCGGGGAGAAGAGGGAACCAGTGGGGGAGAAGAGGTGGTGAGTGCCACTGCCTGGAGGGGTGGACGCTACTGCACCACCACCACCACCTGCAGCACCAGCAGCAGCAGCACCACCTGCAGCACCGGCAGCAGCAGCACGAGCAGCAATAGCGCCCCCCTTAATAGCAATGCCTCCAGTTCTACTTGTCATTGACGGTGGCTCGTCTTCCCCCTCCTCCTCCTCCTCCTTTCCTCCCCTGCCTCCCATACTCATCTCCTGCTGCATTTGCTGCTGCTGCTGTTGCAGCTGCATCTGCAGCTTCTGTTGCAGTTTCTCCTGGGAAATCTCCTGGGCGTTTGGCAGCTTCTGCGAGTGCGGGGCCTCGATGGCGTTCCAGGGATCTCTAGAAGACACGCGGGGGAGATGCTGGGACTGGCTTATGGGTGCACTGTTCCATGCGTCATGCATACCATCACCCACGCCATCATCTGAACCAGCAACCGAACCAGCATACATGCCGTTGGTTATGCGGTTACCACCTGATTGGTTACCTGGGATTGGGAAGTGGTTACTGCTGGACTGTCGGCTGAGAGGGTTGCTCCCTGCTGCTGCTGCCCACATTCCCATCAACCCACCCCCTGCTGCACCACCAGCAGCACCACCCACAGCACCACCACCAGCACCAGCAGCAGCAGCAACAGCAGCAGCAGCACTCACACCACTTTCCCCACTGCCCCTCTCCTCTTCCCTCTCCCCCTTGTCCTCCACCCTCCCCTCTCCCTTCATCCTCCCCTCCTCTCTCACCCTCCCCTCCTCTCTCGACCTTCCCAGCATCGCACTTAAAGCCCCCACACTAGCACTCCTCCCACCAGCGCCAAACGACCTAGCCGGGCTGCCCTCCCTGCTACTTCCACCACTGCTACCGCTCTCAACCCCACTGCGGCTCTGTTGACCGCTCACCACTCCTCCAATACTGCTCCCTGCCCGACTCAACGAGCTACGAGCAAATACAGTGGTGGTTGCAGCAGGGTGCATGGGGGGTTGCATGGGCGCGTGGGGAGGGCGAGAGGAGGTGAGAAGGGAGGAGGGGGGTGCGGAAGGGTGGTTTGGTGGGGATGCATTGGGATGGGACCCCCATGGCTGCTGCTGGCGATTGTGGTGGTGGTGCTGCTGCTGCTTTTCTGGCTCTTGCTCTTGCTCTGGCTCGTAGTCTGGAAAAGGCGACCTCGGCCGGGTAATTACCTCTGAAGGCCGGGAGATACTGCCCGGAAATTTCGAGGAGATTTCGGAAAGCGCGTGGGGAGAAGCGGAGGAGTTGAGAGCGGTGGCGGAGGATAATGAATTGGAGTGAGGGATGGGGAACGGTGAAGGGGAGTGGGAGGGGGAGGGGGAGTGCAGGAGTCCACGGGAAGAGTGGGAATGAGTTGAGGAGATAAGCGAAGCTGATAGGTCGATCCGAGCCGCTGCATTGTCCAATGAGAGGCGCCGGCCGGACGAGGAGGAGGCGGTGGAGGAGGAATGGGGGATGGAGTGAGACGGAAGGGAGGAGAGGGACGGGAAATACGGGTGAATGGAAGAGGAGGTAGAGGAGGAAGAGGAGGAAGGGGGGAGGAGAGGAGGATGGGGAGCGGGGCCGGAGGAGGAAAGAGTGGAGCTCCCAAGGGCACGTCGGCTCGGGGAGGGCAGGCGAAGCGGGAGGAGGGAGGAGGAGGAGGAAGCTGCCGAGAAGCCAACACTGGAGACAGAGAGACCCGTGCCTGACGATGAGGCAACAGAGCAAGGGGAGCACAGCGCTTCCGAGTCATCCTCGTTAAAGCGCGGCTCGTTACAAGCAGCCGCTGCCCCCGCCGTTACCGCTGCTGACGCTCTCGCTCTGCCGTTTGCTCTCCCGCCGCCGCCGCCGCCGCTGATTCCATGCCTGGGACTGCTGACGTGGACTTTGGGACTGCTGACGTGGTGCCGGGGGCTACTTTCCACGGGTAATTGAAACAAAGGCAGCGTGGAAGAGCGGGGAGTGAGCGACTTGGGCGTGCCGGCAAGGGGGGTGCCGGCAAGAGGAGTCCCGGAGTTTGGCGTTCCTGTTAACGGGCTGCTTATATTGCTGGTGGAGCTGTCTATAACGAGTACGTCAGTATCACTGCCCTGTGCGGCGAGATTGCTGCTGCTGTTGCAGCGAGCGCCCTTCTTTCCACTCCTCTCCTTCCCATTTCCCTTCTTCCCACCCTTCTCCTTCCCACTTCCCTCCTTCCCACTCCCATCCTTGCTACTCCCCTTCCCCCATATCGTCAACCTCCTTCCACTAGAATCACCTTCTTTACAACCACCCTCGTTATTGTCACTCTCTGACTCTCCCTCCCCCCCCTTCGGAGTTTTTACCTTCTCTCCTCCTAGCCCTCCCCAACCCCCCTTGGGTGACTTACCAACAGATGCTGACGTGGCAGTCTTGAACCTGAACAGAGATGCCAGCCCTTTCTTACCTCGGGAACTCCCCTGGGAACTTCCCTGCGAAGAATCGCGCGGTAATTCACCTGAAAATCCACCTGGAAAATCTCCTGAATCCCTGCAGAGCTCCTCCAGGTCAAGCGTTTCTCCACCGCCTCCCACATTTGCTGTAGTCCCTCCATTTCCTCTTCCTTCTCCTCCTGGTTGATTGTGAGTTGACTCAAAACCCGGTTGTAGCGGCGCTGGGACGTCTGAGAGGAGTCTGGCCGGCAGGCTGGTGCTGTTGCTGCTACAGCCGGTGCTGCTGCCGCCGCTACAGCCAATGCTGTTGCTGGAGTGAGCGGGTTTCAGCGACCGCGCACCAACCATGGCAGGGAAACTCATTCCTTCTTCTGCCCCAAAAACATTCGTCTGTCCTGCGCTGCAAACAGCTTCTGCCGCCCCGAAATCAGATTTTTGCGCCGCCGACTTTTCGTCTCGTGGTTCTTCCAGCGAGAAGCTGGGCGGCCGCCTGTTGCTGACATCAGCTGAATCGTCGTAGCCAGATGTGACACGGCCCGCTGCTGACGTGGCCGACACGTCAGCCACAATGCTAGTTCCCGTGGCAGCAGCAGTATCCCCGTTTGTGTAACTCAGATACAACTCAATACCGCTGTGGAGCGACGGGGGATTAGCTACTGCTGCATCTGCAGGAATGCCAATTACACCCCATGGAGGATGGTTAAAAGTGGGAGTGAAGCTTCCAGGATGATTCTGCTCCAGCGCAGCAGTGTTAGCGTCTAAGAAGGCTGGGACGGCACTGCCAGCTGGCACTTGATCACTGGAAGCTGCTGCCACGTCAGCTCGAGCACGTGGCGACGCATCAGCGGTTGCGTGCGAAGCTGCATTCTCCTTGTGCCACGACTGCAGGTGCTTGCTGACGTCAGTGCTTTCGTCATATTGGTCCAGGGAGATTGATACGGACAAAGTTCTGCCAGCCAGGCGCAAACCCTCGGTTCCCACCTCCCCCTGCTGCTGCTGCTGCTGCTGCTGCTGCTGCTGCTGCTGCTGCTGCTGCTGCTGCTGCTGCTGCTGCTGCTGCTGCTGCTGCTGCTGCTGCAGCAGCAGCAGTTCCGGCTCTTGTCGTTCCTGGGAAACACTACTCTGATGCGCTTCGCCCTGATGCGCCTCGTCCTGTTTCACTTCGCCCTGCGCCGCAGTTACTACCTCCCCCCGTTGCAGCCTCTCCAGCTGAGCCTGCGCCTCCTCTATCTCCCGCTTCAGCGCCAACAGCTGCGCGTCCGCGTCAGCTTCCCCTCCATCCGCTTTTTCCCCTCTACTTTCCCCCGCGCCTCCCGCCGCGCGTGCTTCCCCCCCTCCACATAACCCATTTGTTTCCTGCGCGTTTTCCGAATCGCCTTCCTGCTTTTCAACCTCAACCTTTTCGGCTGCCGACTTTTTAACCCTAGCTCTTTCAGCTGCCCGCTGCGTCTTTCTGTTCTCAGCGTCCTCCTGTTTTTTCACCCAGTCCCATTTCCCTTCCTTTTTCCCCTTCTTTTTCGATTTACCCTTTTTTTTCTTCGTTTTTCTCCCTCCGTCCTCCCCCTCAGCCTCGCCTTCGCTTCCGCTCCCGGATTCGCTACTGTCGCTATCGCTACTGTCACTCTCACCGTGTTCGTTAGAAGGCCGTTCTTCGACGCGAGTTTTATACGCGTTAGGAGCATCATCATACACGATTAGCTCCGAAGGCTCGTCGGCGATCCGCCCGCGGAAGCATCGAAACGTGGCGGCAAGCGATTGGCGGATGGAGGCGCGAAACGCGTCGTCGTCGCAAAGATCAGCTTCGTTAGAGGATGCTTCGTTAAGAGCAGTTTCTTTGCCAGCGGCAATCACGGCGTCTTGAAACGCGCATCGGGTCCGCCCGAGAAGCGCGCGCGCCTGGTCTTTACTCATCGGCTCGTAGCCAATCAGAAAGAATACCGCCCCGTTATAGTTACTCCCTCGCTGCGATTCGGTCGCTCCGTTCGCGGCGCGGTCAGACAATTCGCCCGCGCCACTCGCGCCGTTTGCGCCGTTCGGACGCTGCGCTTCCGCCTTCACCGAGACAGCGGCGGAGTCGAAAGGCTCGTCGCGCGCGCGCTGGATGAGCGCGAAGACTCGCCCGCAGCCCTGTGATGGGGGGTTGTGGGGAAGGGAGGGAAAAGGGGGGAAGGGTCGGGGGTTGAGTTGCGGGGAGGTAAGAGGGAGGGGGGAGGGAGGGGAGACGGAAGCTGGAAAGGTGGGAGGTAAAACGGGAGAGGGGGGAGGGAGAGGGAAGGGGGAAGAAGGGTGGGAGGTGGGGAGGTTGAAGGGGAAAGAGTCTCAAACGGAAGAGTGCGGCCCCGCAATTGGTCGAAGGAGGAGACCAACACGGAGGGTTGAAAAAAAAAAAAAAAACGCACGAGGAGATTTGTGTCAGATGCGTGATATCGAAGAGGAGGGGGAACGGGAGAGGAAATTGGCGCCACAGTCTTACGAGTGACAGCTGAGTGGCGAAAGGAGGGAGGTCTTTAATCGCCTCCGTAACAGCCGGTGCGAGCGCGGCCGTCTCGCGACCATAATCCGCCACGACACGGCCCCGCCACGCCACGCCCGCGTAGCTCACTAACTCCTGCTCCATCGCCGCGCGACGATCGCCTGCGACTCCACTCTGCGACGCCTGCGATTCCCGTCTGCGACCCGTGCTCGACTCCCTTGTGCGACGCTGCTTCGCGGCGAGCCAGCGCGCTGTCGTGCGACTCCCCCCGCGACAGCAGCAACGACAGCTGCGACTAATGCGACGGTGCTTGGAGAGAGCTCTTCGTGACGATCGTAGGATAGCGTGCTCGTGTCGAACGACGCGCCGTATATTTAGCTCTTAATCGGTTACTTCAAAATTGCACGGGTGAGTAACAACAGTCGTACTAAGCGTCGCTCTTTAGTACGGCATTCGGCAGTACCATTCGAGCTACGTGCATTGCTTTTTGAACGACATGATTATACACTCACGTCCCTCTGCGTTAGGACGATAGGTAGCTGAGGACGCTGCTCGGAACGAGAACGCAATGCCGAAAGATGGTCCCACAGTAGAGCCACCTTCTACACTAATATGGAATAAGCGCGCGTAATCCGGCGATCGTGCATAGCCGTCGCGTATTCCTTGGCGTTTTCTCAAGGGTCGACCTAACTGCAGTAGTGTCACCAACCACACCACGCTCACGTGGCGAGCAAATCTGGGAGGTAAGTGCTCTCCCAGCGATCCCTTCCCGCAACCTTCGCTGCTCGGAAAAAAAATCAATGGTGGAACCACGGACACATGACATCGAAAACTTGGATGGTAGACAAACTTCAGGGAAGGGGTGGACAAACTTCAGGAAGGCGTCATCTCAGAAAAACTGAGGTTGACGGCGGCCGCATTAGGCTGGGCGTTACAGCGGGGATGTTTGTTTTTTGCTCGAGCGAACTTGCTGGTCCATCGTTCGTTACACGAGTAGGCAGCAGAGCAGCAAGCCGCGCACCACGCACACCTGATCCTGATGGGTTGGTGTGAACAAACAGAAGCGGAGGGGAGGAAGCAAAGGTACTTCTGTACACGGATGTGTAGTTTTGTCCTTCTGTACTTTCCCGCTGGGGGCTTGAGGCTGCGAACTTTGAACACCAGTGGACAAATCTATGAAGGCTTCAAAGAATTTCAATACCTTCAATGAATTCCATACCCACTATTTAATACGGGTTTAGTGGTTTAAGTTCTAATGGGCACCGAAGCGAGAAGAGAAAATGTTTGGACGTGAAGGAACGATGAGCCACTGGACATAATTGGACAAAATACAGTGCTTCCCACATCGGTTACTCGATAACGACAAGCTGGGTGCATGAAAATATGAGAATAGACACCCTTCGTACACATGAAGAAACGTGTAGCGATGTGAAATGCTGCTGAGGTCATTCAGAGCGTGTCAATATTTCAGAAACAAAGGAGAGCTTCAGCTCGGTGTAATCACCAAAACCACACTTCTCTGCAGGATGTTGCAAATCTTCGCACCAAGGGTAACCACGCAAATCCAGCTTCGAATGCGCGGATGGTACAGGTGGGGTGGGTCTCTTCGAGTTGGGGGTCTTATGTGTCAGTTGCAGAACCGACAAGCAATGTTTCCCATCCGGCAGGCCAATGAGAGTTGCCCATGTGTCGTTCGAGCGGTCCTGGATTGTTTTGTAAGAGGTAAAACTTGCCACCTGTGAGCACCCTCACCGCAGAATTTAGCGCAGCGTCGTCTCATATCTCATGCCTCGATTGGCTGCGGAAATTCCCTCCTAGTCATTGGCTTGGTGATTGCATTTTTTTGGCGGGTGACGCAGCACACTCCTCAAAAGACTTGCCTAGTCACGCCATGTCACGAATGTGGTGCCTAGAATCCTACAGTAGATCTCTAGATTTTGTAGCTAGGTGTTGGACATAAATAAGTCCAGGAAGCTTACAAGAGATATTATGCTTTGTAATAATTCACTTGTACCAGTAGGCCCCTTCATAATTTTACATATGTTGCCTTTAGGTATATACTCCAGACATCAGAATATAATTCCCAACAAAAATTACACTAGGCCAGTTTAGGACACTTAAGAGGCCCTCCAAATTAATTATTGGAGGTAAAAAAACCCACAAAAACAACACACTAGCACAGTGCTACCGGTGTATTGCCACCCTAATGTTGGCTTCACGTGCACGTGACTTCTGCAACACTTGCCGAGCGCACGTGTCGGCGGGGAGCTGGTGCATTTCTTGCACGTGACTGGTCCGGTGCTGCTGGGGCTTTAAACCCTGATGCAGCAGAGGGAGGGAAAGGAGTACGAGTTGTGGTGTTGGAGCGTGGGATTGAGGAGCGTGTGGCAGGAAAGCGGGGGGAGAGAGGAGCAGACGAGCGAGGGGAGAGGGGAGCAGAGGTGCGAGGAGAGAGGGGAGCAGAGGCGCGAGGGGAGAGAGGAGCAGAAGCGCGCGGGGAGAGAGGAGCAGAAGAACGAGGGGAGAGAGGAGTGGCAAATGAGCGGGGGGAGAGAGGGGTGGCGTATGAGCGGGGGGAGAGAGGGGCAGGGCCAGAAGATCGAGGGGAAAGAGGGGCAGCAGAGAACGAACGAGGGGAAAGAGGAGCAGAGGCGCGAGGGGAGAGGGGGGCAGCAGCGAATGAGCGAGGGGAGAGAGGGGCAGAAGAGCGAGGGGAGAGGGGAGCGGAGGAGCGAGGGGAGTGAGGGGGAGGGGACTGCGGGCCTGGGGAGCGGGGAGTGGGCGGAGATTGAACTGTCTGAACCGAGTGCGAGCGGGGGGAGCGGGGAGTGGATGGGGACTGAACCGACTGAACCGAGAGCGAGCGAAGCGACTGAGAGATCCCAACCAGCACGCTGGGCGGCATTCTCGGACGAGGGACAGAATCGCCCGCGCCTTTTGGAACCAGTCCGGCTGTAGCGGCTGCAGCGTGGGCTGTAGCGTGGGGAGCAGCAGCGCGAGGGGAGGGGTGGGGGGCAAGAGCAGCAGCGCTGCCCATGCTGTGGTGGCGAGCATGCCGAGGGGAGCGCAGGGGAAGGCCCTGTGACGACAGCTTCTGGTGGGGGCTCTGAGGGGGGTGCTGCAGTGGCCCCTGTGGCCCCTGAAGTGAACCCTGAAGTGAACCCTGAACTGGCCCCTGCGTTGGCACCCCCTGAAAGGTCCCTGTCCCTTGTAGAGGCAGGCGATCCGCTGAGAAAGTGTGCGATGGGGCCCCGCGCGCTGCTGCTGCTGCCGCTGCGGCTCGGGCTGATGAGGCGGGGCTTCGAGTGGCGGCACTTGGCGGATGTGGGGAGAAGCGCGGAGCGGGCGGCGAGGTAACCGATGGACCCGGCACACGGTTACCACCACTGCCGCTGCTGCTGCCGCTGCTGTTACGCACAGTGCTACCGCTACCCCCATCCCCACCCGTACCACCCGTGCCACTACCACTGCCCGTGCTGCTGCTGCTGCTGCTGCTGAAGGTGCTGCTGCTGCTGGTGCTGCCAGCGCTGCTACAGCCATTCATCTCCGGTTTCCCTAGGAAAGCGTCGCGTCGAGTGCCTGGGGAAGGCGGACACACTGAGAGGTTCCGCGAGCCGGGGCGATCCAATGGCCCTGATTGCTCCGATCGCTCTGTTCGCTCAGCGCGCTCTGATAGTTCGAATCGCTCTGATCGATTCGCCCGTTCTGGACGGTCGGAATTCCTACGCAGGGGGATGCTGCCGCTGCTGCTGCTGCCGCCGCTACGACTGCTGACGTCAGCCGTCGGGCGATCCGAGAGGCTGACGCTGCTGCACCTGGCAACGATCCCTCCCCCCCCTGCTCCCCGCCCATTTCCCCCTCCTCCTGCTACTCCTCCTGCCGCTGCTGCCAACGCGGCCATGCGTGCAACATCGTTGCCTGAACGTTCAACGAAGCTACGGCTCCTGGCGTGCCGGACAGGCGCACCCGACCCAACCGCACCCAACCCAGCTGCACCCCTGCCACCTGTTTCCCCGAAAGCAGGCGCATTCCTGCCGCCCATACCACTGCCGCCGCCCGTACTGCCGCTGCTGCTCGCATAACTGCCATTGCCGCCCACTCTGGCCTCTCCGTCTGTTACGCCGCTTCCCCTACCAGTAACGCCAGTTCCGCCCACCCGATTAGTTGGAGTGGTAGCGGGAGTCGGAGAAACCCCGTTATTGTTGATCCCGTTATTGTTAGCAGCGCGAATTCCACCGCTGCTACCGTCGCGGCCACTCCCGTCGCTCGCTCCGCTCGGCAGCGCGTTTCGCGCAGCAGCCGAGCCGCCGGTTGACGACCAACTTCCGCTCCTGCCTACTCTCCGCGCGCCCCCCGCCCCGCCGGCGGAAGACCCAGGGGGAGGCGTGGGCACGAGCGCAGGCGCAGGAGCAGGGGCGGGAGAAGATGTAGGCGCGGCGGATCTGGGCTGCGTTGGGGCGGCGGAAGCAGCGGCATGGGCAGAAGAACGCGCGGGCGCAGGCGCAGGCGCAGACGCAGATTCGCCCTTCCTTCCCCCCGCCCTTCCGCCGGGCGACTCGGCCCCCACCGGCCCTTGCGCAAGAGCAGCGGAAGCGGCGGAAGATGCGTGGACCCCGTTGATCGACTGCCATCCGGCCGTTCCTTGACTCGCGCTCCCACCCGTCGCGTTCCCAGCCGTCGGATCATTCCCGCTCACGAGATCCATCGCCGCGGCCGTCATATCGGCGGAGAAAAAGTGCCGCGGGATGCGCCGCACGCGCACGAGCTCGTTAAACGACACCTGGCGCGTCGGCCGCCGTTCGCCGCGGTTCGGCGGGCTGACGCCGGACGACGATGACGTCGCCGCCGCCGGCGCTGACGTGTCATTACCTGGCTCGGGAATCGATCGGCCAATGGTGGGGCTGTTCAGAAGATCCGTGGGCTCGCAGGGATCCTGTAACGATAGTGAGTTTGGGATCACGCAATGACGCGTACGAGAGGAAGAGGAGGAGGCGGCGGCGGCGGCGGCGGACGAAGAGGCGGAAGCGGAAGCGGAAGCGGAGGGAGCGAGCGACGCGGGGGTGGTGTGTGAACGGTAGATCCGACCGTTGGTGTTCACGCGGAATCGAATCGGCTCCGTCGATTCTCCGCCCCGCCCCGGCGGGGAAATGCTAACCGCGCCGGACGCGGAAGGCGAGCGCGAATGAGTGGGGCGGGGAGCGGCATTGGGGGAATTCGGGCGCGGAGGGGGAGGGGTTGGGCGGGATAAACTTCGCCTGGAAGGAGGATGGGTGGCGCCGAGATTCATATTACCCTTCGATTTCGAGGGTTTTGAGAAATCACTCCCGTAACCACCCCCGAAGCCACCCCCTCCATTTCCACCCCCGCCGCACTCAACCGGGCTGGAATTATCCCGAACGAGATCCGTGAGCGACCCGCAGCTTGCGGAGGGTCGAAACGCGTTCTGCTGCGCTGCTCCGCTCGCCTTCTGCTGCGACTGCGGCTGTCGCTTCCGCGCAACTGCCGCCTGCTGCTCTGCGCGACGCGAGTAGGAGAGCCCGCCGTTACTAGCGCTGCTGTCGCCCGCAAAAGTTCCCGTTGCCGCCGCCGCCGCAGACGCGGTGAAATCGTCCCACGCGCGGCTCAAATCGTCCTCGTTCGCGCTAATGACCGATCCGATAGAAGCATTCGTCGCTCGCGAAGACCCACCCCCGAACGACGCGCGTCTCGCGGGTGCCCTAGAAGCGGGACTGGCGCCGTCAGTTGCGGCACCATCGGCGCTCCTCTTCCCTTGACTTTGGCCCTTCCGCGTGCTGTTTAACCACGCCACGGCATTATCGATGGAGATGACACGTGGCACGGGCGAGGCGCCGCGGCTCGGATGGTTCGGTCCCGTTGGAAGACTTTCTGGCGACAGGTCAGCAGGAGGCGGCGACGTAACGCTAGAAGCTGTTATTCGCCAAATCCCCTTCGTCGCTGCTCCATACGATCCCGACGACGTCGGCGACGGCGATCGGCTGTACTTCTGCGACGTCGCAGAGGACGGCCGGCCAGGTCGCTCGGCGTTGCTACTACCGCCGTTACTGCCGCCGAACATCCCTGCCGCTGCCGCGTCGACGGACGCGCACCGCGCTACAAACCCGCGGCTCGCCGCAGGCGGGCTAACATGATTGGCGGCAGCGCAGGGAGCCGCGTGATTCGGGCTGAAAATTCCTTCGAGAGATCCCGAGTGGAAGCCATTGGAGGCTGACGGTCGTGGCGGCGCCGTGCCGGTTCGCGTGAACAGCCGCGCGAATTGCGCGCGCCGTCCCGTCGTCGATCGCCCCGACTCGCCGCCCGTACTGGAGCCGTATCCCATATCTTCCGTGTCCGACGTGGCATTTCCATTGGCGATCGTCTTGCTGGGGCGCAGTAGGAGTGAGCGCGAGCGCCTCGGTTCCGCGCCGCCTTCACTATCGGAGTTGCCGGCGGACGTGCCTCCGCTCAAGGAGCGCCGCAGTCGGCGACCCCATCCCGATGTCGAAAGCGGTGGACCCACCCGCGATGCCCGCTTCGACAGAATCGCGCACGCGCATGGATTGCGCCGACACGTGCAGGGAGTGCGCGCGGCGGGGCTGGGCGGCATCTCCCATTGGCTGTCCATATCCGCGGATTCCGCCGCCCGCTGCCGAACCAGCTCCTGGTTCGGGCTCCGAACCACCGTCCGAGCCTGGAAAAACTCCGACGGGGAGTGGCCTGGAAACGCGGGGGAGTTCTCGCAGCTGCTGAGGCCGAAATCTTGCGGGGAAGGGGAACAGGACGAGCCGGGGAAGGCGGGACCTGGGTAACCGGAAGGCGAGGGGGAGGTGGAACCGGGGAAGGCGGGATCTGATGAATTATTGCTGGGGACGACGATCGGCGGAGGGCAGTAGGTGGAGAACGAGGCGGAGCGCGACCGCGTGCGAGCCGCGCCGAAGGACCCGGCAGGAGATGCGGGATTGTAGGGCCCAGAGCCTGGCGGTAGTAAGGGTGACGCCCGCATTGCGGCTGATGTTGTGGGAGCATCGCTGATGCTCAGCGATCGGTGGCGCTCGTAAGCGACCTCCATGGCTGTCGGCTAGGAGGAGCTGTGTTACTGAAATGGGAAGTACGATCCGTGATTGGAGTTATGAAATGGTTGGCTGTGGGTTTTTAGAGGGAGGGAAACGAGTCACCGCTTGGTGGCAGTGCGCACGTGGAGGAAAAAACTTTACCTGTAAGGGAAACAAAGGCACGCACGAACGTTGTGTGTGTGGGTGTCAGAGGCTGTCATGCATTTGAATTTTGTGAGTGCAATCGGACATGAGGAAGAGGTGGAATGGTGTTGGACGGACAGGACGGGAGAGATGACGAAGGCGGTGGCGGCGTGGGATGGCCCAATGGTTGCCCAATCATCATCCATTCTACCACCACCCAACCCCTCCCCACCACTCACCAGCAGACAGACCACCAGCAACCCAGCTTTCCCGGTGCAGGCAGGCAGTTGCAAAAGCTAGCAAATTGCATGATTGCATGGATGTTCAACCTTCGGGTCGCGGGCATTGCTTTTGGCTGTCGCGGCAGGCGATGCTCGGCTATCAGACAGGGATTGACATGTCGACAAGGGGGAAGGAGGCTTGGTCTAGAAGGGTAAGTACCCGTTAAAATCTAACCGAGTGTTCGTACCCAAACTTGCCCCAGTGCCCCTGTGCCTCCTTTTCATCCACAGCCCCAGTGCCCCATTGCCTCTCAACTGTACATGTAACTCTCATTAAATCGAAGCTTGATACGCTAGCTAACTACGTGGGCCCAATCGAGTCTGATCGCGACTGAACTGATCGGGTCGGACCTGATCGGGCTGCTTGTGATCGCAGTGCCCGAGCCGCGCGATTAGAAATGTTTCTCGAAGAAGTCTGTCAGCGCCTGCCGAGCAAGCGCAACACATTTACCTAGCAGCTTTGTCCTTATTCTAGCGAGAATGACGACCATACGCCACTTGGCGAAAGTAGACGTTTTACGGTCAGCGCAACAGTGTAACTACTCGCAAGCGTCGTTGTGGGCCCCGATCATATGCAATCCAGTAATCGCCTGTGATCGAGGAAAATTGGCTCTGATCGGGGTAAAAAATCGGGTCTGATCGACTTGGGGCGATCTGTTGATCGCGATCAGCTGATTGCCTCCGATTGCATGAAATCGGCTTCCAGGCTTCCTGGAATTTCTTGATCGCGTGTGATCGAGGCGATCAAACTCAGATGGGACCACGTCATAACTGTGCCCCGGACTGGGTAAATATCCTGCACTGTGATTCCGACATTGCGAGTGGAATGGTATGGAAACGGAGTGCAGATGCTGGGTAGGACGGATGTTTCGAAAGGAACCGAAAAAAGGCAGTAGGACCAATCATAGTTTGCATTTGCCTACACTACAAGTTCTTGACAAGTGTCCTGAGTTCTACAGTTGAACCGAGCTGATTTGGCGTGACTTAGAACAGTTTCACGAAAACCGCGTCACTTGGAACGCGCGACTAGAGATAGGACTTCCATACCTGCGACTCGAAGATGTGTACACCGGGCACCACATGTGACGGGTAACCCGTGTCTAAACGACACGGCGTGCCCCATCGCCTGATAAGATCCGATCATCCCAACCCAGGGAAGTATCCAATCGTCACGATTGACGATTGTTTCTTGTTGAGGCAATTACTGCACTGTACACAAAACTGTAGCTCCAAACCAAGAACTGTACAACGGAATCAACATTCAGGTTCGGAGTGCTTGGCTTTGCATGTAGGCAAACCAGGGACGATTAAACTCTCAACGTTACTCCCGTTCTGAAATTTGCAAATAATACACTTCTCACTACTGAAAGAAGTTTCATGGAGGCCACAAAAGCAGAAACTTTTTGTGCGATTGCTGAAAGTAGGGCATAAAGTTTTTGTGCGATTGCTGAAAGTCGGACGGGCGGCATTCGCTCCCCCTACAATGGATCACCCGTACAGAACTGTATCATTCCCGACAGAAATGCAATTGCTGCAGTCGGCTGTTCCTCTTTGTACAGTAGCCCTCAGAATCCGCCTTTGTACGGGGCCCACCCTCCAAACCACAAAACTCGTGTGACGTGTCGTGTTGAGTGGCTGCTTGCTGCGAAAAGGACCTTTGGTTCCACTTCGGTTCCTCCCCTCCTCCCCTCCTTGCACTGTTCAGTATATTACAGAGGTCACTATATGTTAGAGAATGCCTGGGTGAAAAAGTGATAATGAGACTATTGTAAAAATGTTGGAACACCTCAAGGTCGGTCTCACCGTCACGTTGTTTCACACCCTGAAGGTAGCATTCACAGAAATAAAGGAATGTACTGCCCAACCCATCCACTCACCATAAGCCGCTGTACCGATGGGTCACGGGACCTTACCGTATTTACGAGATGATGTGTAGTTGAAGAAACACGTATATGAGGTAGCCATGCTACAATGAATGAAGCCTTTCACACCCTGTAACAAATGGTGCGTCCCATCCCATCCAATGCGAGAAAACTTACGGTAAGCGAAGTGCACATGTCATTCCATCCACCTCACCTCATCCCAATACCGTATTGTTACGAATAGTAATAGTTGAAAATTACTGTGCACTCCTCACCGCAGCAAAGAGAATCACGCAGTATCGCGAATGAACGTAAAGCGTCAGACGGTTGGAAACGACTCGAAGCGTAAGACAATTGGGACGCATCTGAACCGTCGGAGCAAAC